TATATCTATCTATATATCTATATCTATATATATTTAATAGAGATAGTATATTTTTGCTGATTGCTTTTCCTTGTCCACTCTTTGTATTGCAATTAAAAAAACCCAAAGAAATGCAGTTTGTAAACAACTGGATGTTTGTAGATTTTTCTTTTTTTTTCTTGTTCTAAAGGGGAAGGAAGTGTGCAGGAGGCCAGTATTGAAGAACAAGCCTTAAAAAAAGATGGTATTTTTAGTCTTAAATTAGTTGACTGTCTTAATTCTCAAATGCCAAGATAGACCAGACTCTATGAAATGAAATGTTTCCTTTAAACTGTAAAAGTGTTAAGTAGCTGTTGGAACAATGTGTTTGGTTTTTTTTTTTTTTTTTAAATCTTGCAGTCATGAACATATAGAAATCCTCACTGTGAATGGGGAGTTGCTGTTCTTCAGACAAAGAGAAGGGATTTTTTACCCGACACTAAGGTTGCTTCACAAATGTAAGTTTCCTGAGGATGGTAGTGGTGGGGAGAGGAGTGAGCGCGTGATTCCATGGGACTTCTGTAGAACCAAATTAAAAAGAACTTACCACTTACGTGCATATATACCAGAATAGATCTTAACGATATAGTCTACCTTCTCAACTGTAATTTATTGCTTTGCTATTTCAGGTGCCTATATGGATTGCTTCCCCCATAGTTCTTGTAATGCTGTATTTTAAGCAATCTAAACTTTGATTTCTAAGAATTAAATTGTGCAAAGCTCCACAAAAAATCTTGAGAGAGGTTTCCCTAGGACGGAGATCTAAGTTTCCTGTTTTTAGTCCCTATCTTTGTTCTTTCAAGTCTTCCTTTAAACCCTTTTGCTTCCTTCTAAATACTTGTAGGTTCTTATTAGAAAAATACTCTTTAGTCATGAGTTTAATGATGTAATGCATACTTGTCCCATCTAAAAATTTATGCTGCATGCTTTGTACTTTTTACAATTTTCTCTCTCGCGTTATTTTTCTTGCTGTTTTTACTATTCTGCCTAATTGTGTTACTCTGATTTAGGTGAGCGTAAGTGTCCCTAAAAAGGTTATTCAGTCAAACCTTATTGTTTGCAATACTTCAAGAAGGTGCATGCACTTGAAGGATGGCTTGGAGAACTGGCAGTCTTCAAGAATTTTGTCCTCCTTTGCCTTTTTTATCCTGTTAACATTCAACTGTTTCATCTAAGAGGTTATACATGTAACTTCAGAGATTTAAGACCTCTTTGTATGTGGGCGTTTGCGTGATTGTTTTCATTGGGGGAACTTGTTAAAATTGTTACTTGGTCTATGGGTATATGAGTATGCAGGAGGCCTTTGGATTACCCTTTGGTTCTCAGATAAAAGATGTGGTCTGGGAGAACGGTACTTGTGTCCTTTTGGGACAGTACAGCCCAGCCGGAGCTCCGGTAATTGTTTCTCAAACTTCCTACCCTCGCAGCACACTAGATATCTAATTGCCCCATCTAAACTGACTTGATAACGAGTTATTTGTGTTGTCATCTTACCATGTTAATTGTAATGCTGTATCTCTCCACTCCTAGACCCATTTATTCTACCACATCAGCAGGTTGATAAAGGCGCCATTAAATTTGTACTAAGTGGAGCTAATATAATGTGCCCTGGCCTGACATCTCCTGGAGCAAAGCTTTACCCTGCTGCCGTTGATACTGTTGTTGTATCCTTCTTTAACTATGAAGTACTGCTTGCTGTGAGATGAGTTAAATTTCTGTTCTTGTGTTCTCAGCTGATCATAATCTGAATTACTTTGTATTTTAATGGTATTTCATGGAATAACCAGTAATCTGAAAAGAGTTGCAGAGGTTCAGATGTTATTTGGCACGGTTAAAATTGTTCTTAATTTTTTTTTTTACTTACTGTGATGCTCCAAACAAAATAACTATTCCTGCCGTGCTGTTGGGTGGGATGCTGTTCCATTAATCTAATTGATAATTGGAGCTCCTTTGCGATTTATGCCAAACGGTAAAAATAGATGAAGTACAGTGTAATTTGTCCCCTGCCTCCTTAATCAATCTCGTATTTCCTTCAGTTATAGAAGAATTTACTCCTGTTCCTAGGGGATTTGGAAAGATGTTTAGAATTGGCTTTGCTGTAGTCAGGACTTGCTCTATGTGTCTGTTGAAGTTAGCGTACGTAAAGTGAGGAAAGTATGTTAATTCAGTCCTGCTTGTTATGTTATTGAGAAAGGAACCCTGAGCAAGTACAGCATTAATAATCCCGAGCTGTGCTGCTTTTGTTGTTAGTTAGATGCTATAGGAAAAAAATCAGCAGTTCGCATCACATGTTGCTAAGCTTTGAAAAGGACACGTCTGATTTCAGTACTTCTATATTTTTAGGTTTGTGTCTCAATTCTTCTATACCTTGGAATCTAAAATGGCCCCACAAACACGTGCAGTTTTGTTCTAGAAAGGATGAGACTATCATCTCTGTGTTAGGCACAAAGGAAGAAATGGAGTGTAGTGTTGGGAGATCTTTTCTATAACTGCCGTTTGAAGTTCATAAATACATGCTTTGTTCTACACACTGTGATTCAGTTGTTAAATGCAGTGCATTGTTTGGCTTATCTTCAAGAGCTAGAGCTCTAGAATTACTAAAAGGGTGAAAGTTCAACACAGGATTTTGAAACTTTTTGGAAAGTAGTTTCCTGATATTGCTTTTACTTTTCTGAAGTAGTTTTAAAAAAATGTTTTCCTTAGCGGTGATTTGTAGGCAATAATGGCAGAGGGGAAACAACATGCATTATGTGTGGGAGTAATGAAGATGTCAGCTGAGGACATGTAAGTGTTTTTAAAATTGAAACATAACCCATCCCACATCGTTATTCCTATGTTTGTTTGGAATATAAGTACCACTGTCAAGGTTACTGCATCGCTGTTGCAGCACATGTTGTTCAAATACAGAATTTTTTTAAGATTTCATTTTGTTGATGAATATTCAGGGAAAGAGGAGGAGGCAGGGAATATCTTCCCTACTTACTTGTTTACTGAATGGAATCAAAATAGTTCTTTTCATGTGAGTATGGATTTTAAGACACACAACACTAGTACTACCTCTGATTGTTAGTATTTCTTGCTCTCTGATCATATTTTCTCAAAGATCTTGCTGAACAAGGAAATATTTGTATAGAGTACGTACTACCTGGGCTGGGCAAGAGATGTAATTTGGATTTGAGGGGGTTGAAAATGTTGAAGTGTTTTTAGTCTCTGCTGTCCCTGCAGACCAAAGTCCTGCTGGTACTTGGTTGACCAGCTGGGCTTTCCTCTGTGGCCTTCTCTTTCTTTACCTTGTACCCACATGTAGCATTTCTGCTTCACGTGCTTACTAACTTAGCTGAGCTTTTTGTGAAACGTAGAGGTCTGTTTTGGGGATAAATATCAACTGAAAAGTATTTGAGAAGGAAAAGAGACAGAAAATGGAAATGGATGTTAGTTGTTCTTAGCATTCAGATAGTGCTTAAATTATAAGTAGCTAAAGCACTTTGTCATTTTAAATTCTATGACTTTTGCAGCAGGATGTAAGATGCACCCAGCAGGTTTGGGCTGCATTGGTTGCAGCCCCATCTAGCACTTGTGTGGGTGAGGAAGCTGATTTTGTTGAGAACAAGTCACTGTTTCTAGTGGGGATAATTCTCAGCAGGATCATCTGTATGTGGTCACTCTGCGGTCCTGAGTTGTAATGGCAGCACAGGGCAGAGAGGTGGGAATGTTACGGCGGACAGGGATAGAGCAGGACTGCAGCAACCTGGATATAGACCTGCTGTAGCTGTTGAGGAATTATATTCCTCAGGATTCTTTGTAGTGCCTTCAAAAGACTCCAAGGGTAGGTGGAAAGAATAGCTACTTTTGTCCCAGTCCTATGTCTGCAGTGACCTGCTGTGACACTGCCAAACAAGATTATCCATATTCCTAATCCTGACTTCAAATTCAGCAGCCTTGCAGCTGAACATCCTGTTCTGTGAGAAGCAACATGAACCGGAGAGGAAAATGAAATGATACTGATCTATGCAGCCTGTTAGGATGCTTTTTTGTGTGATACTGTTTAAAACAGAAAGTTGTGAAACAGTAGGTTTTCACGCTTGGTGTGATTATGATACACGATGTGTTAGTGCAATTAACATAGTATTTTCCTTCCTGAGTACTTCTGGGCAAGTTGTAGAAGTAAAAAGAAAAAACTTAGTGTAAATACAGTAAATTATATCCTCCAGGGGAATGAAGCTTCTTCTCAGTCCTAGAATGATGAGATTTGCTTGGTTATCCTGACAAAACTAGATTTTTCCATGGCGTAATGTACTGGAAAAAGATGAACACACATCCAGTGCAGAAAACAACCATTTTTAAAAGATTGTATGACTCAAAAGATACAGGATGGTATGTCTGTAACATGCTGCAAGTCCTTGGCACATAAATTTTGCATTTATAATTCTTTATTGAGTGGGTAGATGTCTTGCAACTAGCAGCGAAGCAGCTCACCTGCATTTGATTGTCAGTGGCACGCTTGGAACCAGAACTTGTCAAACTCCACGTTCCAGCTGTGTTACACCACCTCCTGTGCTAGGAGGGGGAGAGACTTAAAACTGCTGTGCTACTTTGGTAAAGAAACACTAAAATGAAGAAAAGTAGGAGAAGTGTTGTCTGAAGTACTGCCTCCCACAAAGAAGTAGTTAAAAATATTATGGCAAGTTGTTGGTGAAACGTGGAAGGCAAATATTGTCCTCTTATCATTCAGCAATGTGGGTACATGTAATAACAAATACTGTTTCTTGTCCACCTGCTGTTGAAGATTATGACTTTGTGGGTGATAGCTTCTCCCCTTCCAGTTGATAAATGTTGCATTTTCTACTTCAGAGCAGTACAGAATACAGTATTTAATATTTAACCTAGCTAATACTTCTGTACCTTTTTCCTCCTCCTACAGTGAGAAGGTCAACAAAGGGATTGGTATCGAAAATATCCACTATTTAAATGATGGCCTTTGGCATATGAAGACGTACAAATGAAACAAAAGGAACTGTGTTACTCCAAAGGAATGCACTTAGATTAAATGTGGACTGCTTTGTAATTCCTTGTTTTTAATGTGACTGAATGTACAAATTCTTTTGTTCTGTGGCTATGCTAAATAAATCAAGTGAATGCGAAAGTACTGTTAGGCTACAATAGTTTTCTAGAATTCTTTTTTATTACAGTTCTTTTCTTTTGTCTTAAACCCAAGTCTTCAGTGACTGAAGATATCTGATGGAAAGATCCTGCATGGACTGTGAGTACACTGTTTCAACAAAAAGGAGGAAAAAGCCAAGAAATGTTTACATTTTTATGCTCTTCTAAAAGAGTAATATAAAGCATATGTGAAATACAATTAATACGGTTTATAAAACCTCCGAAACATTTCAGATTTTTTTTTTCTTCTGATTAACATCTTGTTAGTCTACCTGTTTCTTGACCATGGAGAAATCAGGTTTTTTGACATTTATTTTTTTAACTTATTAACAGCATTAACTTCAGTGCTTTACTTAAGGATTTTCTCTTTTTAATATGAATTTATCTGTATGGGATTTATGAACTTAAACTGATATGTGGACTAGAAATTCTTTTATGCTAGTTCATATCTGAAGAATATATATATATTCAGATTTCTACCTGCCAACACTTTGATACTGCTCTCCTTAGTGGAGTTTATAGTCATGGTGGGCATACTCCAAATGGAGAGTGTGCCAACTTGGTGCCTGATGCTCTACTCCCTGTTTGCCTTTTTATTTTAGGAGCAGAAACAAAATCACTGTTTAACAAAGGCATGATAGCAAAATATGGTTATCAGTGTAGCCAGGAGCAACTTCTTCAGGTGGAACTTCAAGAGATCTCAGCTTGTGCACACTGCCACGTGTATGTACCTCTACGGAACGGGTTAAAGAGCACTCTGTATTTTGTCTGGGTAATCCAATTCTTTGTTCAGCGACTGCATACCCAAAGCTATGCCTATGGAAAAAACAGCCTGTGCCATCGAATCATTTAATAAACTAAGGAAACTTTAAGGTCTACCACTCTTAACTCTGTCTCTGAAAGCATTTATTAATATTTCAAGTCTCTGTTCTAACACTTGTGTAATTTTGTATGCAAGTGCCTTGTCTCGGTGCTGTGCATGTTTGGTTTCCCTGCTCTGGGACCTTTACAGAAGACAGCAGCAGAGGTGTTCTCCATCCGAGTCTAAAGTCAAATTAAGACATGGGAGATGCACATATTAGGTAACACATTCCTACTTTAAAATTTCTCCTGTAAAATTATTTGCAGGATTGTACTTTTGAAAATGACAGGGCAAATCTGAAAGTATTTATTAATGTAGGAAGACAATTAAGGTGATTATTACAGCACTGTTGCAGAAAAAAATCTGGTGAAACTTCAGACCTTCCCTTCAGAATGCTAGTGGTCATTTTTATGCATTGTAAAGACTCTGCTATAAATGTACTAGTTTCTTGTTGGTGCTATGGGGAATCAGTTTGTGCATAAAAAGCACTAGTCTTGAGTTCCGTGGCTTGCTTTTCCCCCTTCCGTCTTGTCTCCTCCTCTTGTGTCACATTACCTCTCAAATCTGTGATGTTATATTTATTCTTGTTTGAATAGCTAACTGCCATTCTTTTTCCTTGACTTGTCCTATGACCACTTGTTGTAGCGAGGTCAGAACTGTCTCTAATACCAGAAACACCACTGAAATAAAAATTTTACTTTCCAGGCTGTGGATTGAACCTTTTAAAAATGATTCTGTAAGAAGATACAAGTTAAATCACGCTTAAATTAATTTGTATACCAAGTAAGCAAGACTTTGTCAAAAATACAAGTTTTATCTAGGTGTTGGCAGCAATCATGTATGTGTTTGTCTTGCTATGTCAGCTGAGCTCTGACTGACATAGAGGAGAACGAGAAAAAGGCGAAACAGCTGAGCTGTGGTAGCTTGCTTGGGGGCCTGAGCAGTTGTCTTACTGGTCTTGTAAAGAATGAAGGACCTGATGGTTAAAACAAGAGAGATGTGGATCTCATCAGCTCTGGAGCAGCTGTTTCACTTCCCCACCTGCCCCCTTGCAGCTCAGGGTAGGATGAGACATTACAAATGGCCTGATAAAGAAAGGGGAGATAACATACTATCTTCTCCAGTCTCTTATGGATAGTGCAGTACCACCAAAGCCTGGGATAGTCCTAGATGTAGCAGATGGATGTGTAGTACCTTCCTTATGTCTGGAAACAGGCAGGTCTGAATTCTGAACAGAGTAAATATTAAAGTGCTGTTTATTTCCACTTCCTGTGACTGGAAGGGAGCGTGACCTGGTAACTTGCATAAAACTGAGTTCAAGTGCACTCAGCTGTAAACACCAAAACCCACCACCCAACCCACCCACCCAGACCCAGTACAGGGGAGTTCTGCCTCTTGCTTTGCTGTGCATGTAACCTCTTTTGCATAACATTCAAAGAAAGGTTAGGAGTGTGAGTATGCGCTGCTCTTTCTGCATCTTGGTGTTAAAAATACCCGTACATATATCTATACTACAGTTGCATTGAGAGTTAACCAACTTCTTGCTTGTAAACACTCTTAGGAGTGAAAATAATACTGAACCTTCATTCTAATATGCTTCTATATATGAAATTTTAAGGGAGCAATTACTCTTGTGCTAACAGGTTTCCTGACCATGTTAATACTTACTCAAATATATTTCTCTCTTTCGTCTGCTTAAACAAGAGCAGTCCAAAGGTCACTTAACATTGCTCTGCTGCAACTTCCTATTGGATCTTGTCAGCTTGCTTCCTGCTAATTCCTTGCTGTACATACAAGTGATAGCTGCTGTGTAAACAGCATAGCTCAAGCCCTTGTGTAGTTTAGTGTAAAGGAAACAGCTTAAAGTTAGTCTTTGAGACTGAATCTCTAGTCAGTTTTATTGTTACATCTTAGAAAGATATAAAGACATTCTAGAAATGTCTGGAAGAATTGAGAGAATCAACGTCCTGCAAAAATATATTTGTAACAGTAGACTAAAGTTCATTTGAGTTTTCATTAATAAATATTTACATGTACAAACCCCCCATATAAACTTAATTTCCTTTTATCATAAACATTAACAACTTCTTTATCATTTCATTCCAGCACTGTCAAAAGCCAGAAGCGTTTCTGTATAAAAGATTTAGAAAAAAGTTCTCCTTCCACTGTGAAAATTAAGAGCTTTACCAAACCTCAATGTGCAGCAAAAAAAAAAAAAAAAAAAATTGTACACCAGTACCACCAGATACAAAAATGGAAATCTGTCAGTACAAATGTGTGTCACAAGAAGAGCTGACTCCACGGTTCCAGGTCTTCTCTGGAGTGACATCAGTCATTGTCTGAGCCTGCAGGTGGAAGGAAGACGAGTGCATCGTTGTACGTGTGGCCGTAGGGTCTCAGCCTGTAAACACCGTACATCATCACGTGCATGTGGTTTGGGGCCAGCCCGCTGAACGTGATGGCCATGTCGGAGCAGCAGCTGTCCACCACCTGCTGAGGGTAAGTAGACATCGCTTCCTTAATGTGAGCACCCACTGATTTAGTGTTAAAGACGTCTAGAGCAGCAGCCGTCCACCACCTGCTGAGGGTGAGTAGACATCGCTTCCTTAATGAGAGCACCCACTGATTTAGTGTTAAAGACGTCTTTTCCTTCTGAATCTTCCGCGTTTTCGGCAAACACGCCAGTATACTTCAGGCAGATCGCTAGCTGTTTATCCTCAGCAAGTTTCCAAATCATACCTCCCTGCTCCGGACACTTGTCAGAGTCTTCAAGAACATGGGAGAGTCGTCTTAGTGATTCAATGCTTAAGACGATTCCTCCCTCACCATCTACATACTCAAGGTCACCAGATTTCACAGTATGGCCTATATAAAAAGGCTGCGAAGGGTCTTTTTTCAGTAAGAAATACTTGAGATTTTCAATAATAGCAAATGTGGTTGGATACGCAAGGAAGAACCAGCTGAATTCATCTTTATAGCGTTCATACGTTATCTTGTAAGCTTTTCTCATCATCACCCACATATCGTTTGTGTTGAGGGTCACAGAATCAAACACCTTGACGTTTTCAGAGCTGTAGAATTCCACCTTATCGCAGTGCTTGCTCCACGTCTCTTTCACTGCAGCCCAGTGCCCCAAATCTTTCGGTTTCACGAGGACGATACAATAAACGCGGATGCTTTTACTAAGCTCCATGCGTTCACCTTCTGAAAGGTTTAAGACGTCTTCTTTGTTGGGAGCCTGGATGTGATGATGCTCGTGGTGATGTGCTTTAGTCCCGTGGCCCACTTTAATATGTCCGAGGAGCGTAACCAACATGCAGAAGGCCCCTCCTAGCACCATGCCCTTCACGAAGGAGCTGCTTTCGGACATCATTTTTCCTGGAAAGGAGACACGCTGTAAGAACTGACGGGAGTAAGTTTACTACCGCAGATGCCGCATAGTTTTAATACGTTCTTCAATTTCTAAATCCAGCTGCGGTTCCAGGACGACGCTGGT